TATATATATATATATATTATACAAAAACAAATATATATAATATTTCTTCATATGTGTATACATATTATTGTATTTTACTTGATGATTGACATAGAATTTATTAAACTTACTCTGTGTCTGGTAATAGGAAGAGAAATAACTTGAAGTTTCTTAGGAGAAACACTGGGTTCCGATTTTTTCGCGGTAACAGGTTCTATCTTTTTGATCTCCTTTTCTGGCCGCTTAGGTTGTTCCTCCTTTTCTTTTTTCTTAGAATCATCCGCGTGTTCGCGTTCTCTTTCCCGCTTCTCCTGAGACGTTTTACGCTCAATCGATTTCCTGCAGACACAGAATATACGTACACATATACAAGCACAATTTGTAAAAAATTATTCAACGTATGATAAACAGATACACTACGCACAATATCTGTACTGCACATACACACACATATCCGCAGATTTATTATTATTATAATTATCATCCACCAATCGCAGACTCCGTAAAACCAACTATCGTGTTCAAAGTGGAAATTTCACTCACCTAAGTGACTCGTCCTCATTGCTAGAGGAACTACTCTCGCTACTTTCCGAGCTACTCGATTTAGACCGGCCGTTTCGCAATTCTTTTCGCGATCCTGTATCAGGCGGTCTTTTAGTTTTCTCATCCACTTTCTTGTCCCTTGCCTTATCCTTGATCTCCTTCGGACGATCTGGAGACCGCTTCCCGTCTCTCGAATGATCCACCGATGACCTCTGATCCTTAGATCTCGATCTGCGATCTTTGGATCTAGATCGACGATCCTTATCCCGTCGTTCTCTGGAGCGCTCCCGCCTACTTGATCTGTCGCGCGAGGAAGATCTATCGTACCTGCTCGATCGATCCCGTCCGTCCGGTGAATGACGTCGGCTGCCACGGCGATCGGGTGATCGACGTCTGTCACGTCTCTCCGACGATCGCCTTCGACGATCCAACGACGATCTCCTGCGACGCCTATCTTCGGGACTCGGTGACCTACGTCGATATCTTGTCGGACTTCTTCGCGGAGGACTGCTAGAACAATTTTCCATGCACAAAATAAAAAAATAAGATTTGTTTAATGAGAAAAAAAAAATATATATATATATATATACTAACCTACGCCTATTAAGCGGTCTGCGTACAGAAGGTGGCCGCATGCCGCGGCTGCCGCTGTACCGATCCAATCTATCTCTTTCTCTATCCCTTTCACGCTCTCGCTCCCGTCTCCTGTCGCGATCTCGATCTAATGATCTTCTAGAGCATATAAAGAATATCAAGAATTTATAAATTTAAAGAGCTCTCTAGCAAGGAATACACAGATATAATGTCATACGATTAGTTTCCAAATGGAAAACTTTTCGGAATTTCAAAAATTCTCTATTTGATAGCCAATATTGTATTTATTTATGTTTTTTTGCTGAAAAGCTTTAAATATCAATTCTCATTCAAGCACTTTTTATGCGAAGAAGTGGTTGAATATTGTATTCGGGCACTTGCTCGAAAAGTGAAAAGAAATCTCTTTGACTTCTCTAAGATACTTAATTGGAGAGAGAGAGAGAGAGAGAGAGAAGCATCTCTTCAAATAAAATAAAATTGATAATCATCAATTTAAGAATTTGATCGTTATAATTTAAACGTTTTAATTTTGAAAAACCATGTTAAAACCCAAATAGTTCTCAGCGCGCAATTCGATATATCATCAATATGTTTCGAATTTATAAATATATGTATTTCCTAGACAACTTTTATAAATATTTCAAAATTTTACCTTCGGTTCCTGTCTCGTGATCTATCACGTGATCTATCTCGTGATCTATCTCGTGACCTATCCCGCGATCTATCCCGTGATCTATTTCTGTCCCTGTCCTTGGATCGACCTCTGTCCTTACGTGGCGAAGGACTTCTTCTCTTAGGAGCTGACTTTCTCTCTCGACTGGAATCGCTATCGCTACCGCTGTCGTCCTTGTTGGTTTTCCGGTAAGATCTCTTAGCTTGCACGCCGTCCTTCTTCTTTCGTATCTCGAAATCGTTCTTATCTTTCGCATCTTTCTCTTCTTCAGATTCTGAGCTGGTGCTCGTAGTACCGTCACGTTTTCTGTTAGAATCCCCATTATCTTTTCGTTTATCCGGAGACTTCGAGCGAGACTTGGATGATTTCGAGTCGCTCGAGTCAGATCTCGATTTCCTCGACTTGCTCCTATCGTCGCTCTTGGATCGCGATTTCTTGGATCGCGATCGCGATCGTGATCTCGGCGATTTAGATTTACTTCGCTTTGACTTGATGCGATCTTGCGAGCGCGACTTTATTCTTCTGGATTTAGATCGGGATCTTCGAGATCTTGATTTAGAACGGGACCGTCTTGACTTCGAAGCAGGCGATCGTGACCGACGCTTTGAATCCCGGCTAGGTGATTTGGATTTGGATTTCTTTGAACGATTCACCGGCGATTTAGATATAGATCGCGATTTCCTTACTAATTTGTCCAGCGATTCTGGCGAAGGTGTGCGATTATTCCTCTTCTTTCCATCGGCAATGCTCATCAATTTGGCTTGCAATCTCGATATTGCTTCTGCGGCTTCCCTGCAAATATATAAAATTTCGATTTTCTTTTAAGTCAATAGTGTATTCCAATCATATGTAAATATGATTCATATTGCTTACGGTTTAGTTTTAACTGGCATCAAGGGTATGGCATTTTCCGGTTGCGGAGAGTCTTTCCGTTCGATCTTAGCTTCAGACATGTCTTTCCCGTTATCTTTCAGTGAATTTTTACTTGGTGATCTTGAAACGGATCTTCTTTTTCGACTCGATCGATCGCGATCTCTGTGTCGGTCCCGCGATCTGCTCCTTTTTCTATGTAAAAAATATAAAACACGAGAGATATATAAATATAATTATATATAGTTTTTGAAAGCTATATATTTTCCTCGATGATAGTAGTACCTATCTCTATCACGATCCCTGCTTCGATCCCTTCTACGCTCCTTCGATGAGCTGCTATCCTTCTCGTCCTTTTTCACTTTACTATCCGCATCATCCTTTTCCTTTTCGCGCTCCTTCTCTTTTTCTTTCTCCGCCAACGATGCCTGAAGCTTCTCTTGTTCTTCCTAATTTGATATATTACAACATAATGTAAGCCTTCGTTGTTTACACAAGATATTGTTTTTTTCACAACTATATATAATTAAAATGAAATTGATATATGTCATCCATTCCATTACATTCAATTGAACATTTCACTGAATGTCAAAATATAGTAATTCAACTGTTTATTTATCTTTTAGAAAACTTCATGAAATACTTATACAGATATGAATCATGATATAGGAATAAGTATATAGATATAATGAATCAAAATAAGATAGAAGCAATAAGCAAATCAACTAATCACTGTCAAGTATTCTCATGGATTGATTGTAAGACATAATCAAAAATATCAATTTGCTTACTGCTTATGCTTTTCTATGTACCATGGCTTTTAAAGCTGTACATAATGCATTATGCAAATGTTAAACATGGCTAACTGTATAGTAGTTTTAAATTATACATAAATTATACCAACAATGACAATATAGTCAAATTTATCATGTAAATGCGTCATATGTGAATTTGTTAAATATTTAGTAAGTGGAAATCATATACAATATTATTACACAAAATCATAATATTAAATATATATTTAACCATCAGATAGTCATATTTAACGTATTTACGAATACAGGTGTAAGAAAATAAAAATTGATAATTACCAAACGCTTTTTAATCTGATCTTTTTTTTGTTGCAAGAAAGCCTCGGGAATGCCCGTAACACTTTCTTGAGCGGAGACCAGAAGGTCCCATAATTCACCCATGAAAGCACGGGC